GAGCGCAGGCCCCCCACCGGAAAAAGGCTGGCACAGCCCATGGCCCTGAGCCCACAGCAGGCAGCCTGCCCTTACCCTGCACACAAATCCTGGGGGGGCACCTGCCCTCAATACCTCCCCCAGGGGTATGCACAGCAGCAGAAGCTGCCACCCCTCCCCTCCAACCAGCCCTGGCCGAGCAGCCCATGGCTCTGTCCTGTGCCCTACTCCACCCCAGCTACGTAGTGCCTGCCCCAGCCCCACCCCACCCCCTTCACCATGGGGGCCCCAATCACTCCCCTCATGCTTCTTTCATCCCCACCCCCATCCCTGTTCCCCTCCCCAGACTTACTGGCTGGATGCCGCTCCTCAACCTGCTGGGCTGTATTCCTGGCTGCGTGCATGCTGTGGTTGTGCACATTCATGCAACATTTATCAGTGACATTATCGGCCAAATTGGCCAAAAAAAGTCAATTGCCGATAACGTCGATTTTCCTTTTATCAGTGCACCTCTATTACACATATATTATTTGCATAATTCAAAGGAAGGCATGGAAAAAAAACCCTGATTACCAACCATGATCTAGTTTCATATGTAAACCTCTCTCTTTTTCTTCCATTTCCTCTTCCTCTTCATCATCAATATTTTCTTCCAGTTGTTGTTCCGAAAGTTTTCTTAGATGTTGCATAAATACTTCAATCGAGGATGTGAAGTGGAATTCTTTATTATTCAGCCAGTGAACCACAAAGCCTCCATTTCCTTCATCTAAATTAAAAGCTGTTCCAGCCAAGACTGATGGAATATCTACAGAAAGAAAATCTAACATTTAATTTAAATCCAGCTAACACACAAAACAACACACCAAACCCAAATTTAAATTAGCCACATAACACGTGGCCTTAATTATTTATCCTTGTGACCAAGAACAGACCACATACATATACGCACATGCAAAATATTATTATACACATACAAAACATGACAATTTATGAGATACTAATGGAAATGGGTTCTTTTATGATGAAGCTGGAAACTTAACTTAATTTCACAAACAATAATCCTTAGTCAATAAGGATTACATTTTTAAAGGACAATAACATAAGTAATCAGTTATATAATTAAAAACATGCATAGTAAATCTTAGGCTGCCCACATAAAATTCTTATCATGTCTCTCACAGTAGCAGGTACTAATCATAACATAACTCTTAATTGATTATTTTATTTTTCAAAGCATTTCTGTTCAAGTTCATATATCAATATTTATTTTAAGGGACACTGTCAAACAAATATTCAGTTCGTATACTTATCAACTGACTTCTTCAGTAACGTACATGCAGTTGCTGTTGAAGCTTTCAGATTAATGATATAGATGCAGTTCACTTTAAAAAAGCTTATTTTACCATCAGTAAATAAATGTATACACACATATATACATACACACACATGTATGTGCACATATGCATACACATCTATTAACTTACACTTGACGTTTGGTATGCTTCTTTAATTTATAATATATAATTTTGTCCCAAAATAATTTTGATTTCGGCTTCTATTTTGTTAGTGTGGAACAAAGTTTTTTGGGAGAGAATTAAGGATGGCTTAAATAACGAAGTATACATTTTTTTAACTCTTGACAAGAATAACACGAACATTTGATAAACTATTTATGTCACTAACTTTAGGAACTTGAGTTTTGTAAATCTGATACACATTGATATAACCCTACAATTCTCTTACTTAACAAATCTTGCTGGAAGCTTTAGGAGATTCAGAGTGTTGGGTTTTTTTGTTTTTTTTTTAACCTTTTAAGGTATTTTTCAATCTATGCCACCCAAAATGCAGGTATTCCATATATAGGATAATTAGTCTTTGCACCTTACAAACACAGCACAGTAAGTGCTACAAGTCACAGCAAATAAAAATTTCAAACTTAAAGACCAGAACTAGTACAACTTGTTTCCATATCTAATGCCAAAAACTCTCTAGACTACAATGCCACGCAAGCAAATGATTAAACTTTGTGCAGATTCCCTGAAAGATATCTACCATCATGATATCTAAATGGGGCTACTAAATGCCCCTCACAATATCAAAGGGAATCAGAAAAGAAAGAAAGAAAGGAATATAAAAGCCGAACGTATTTGAATTTTATCTTGCAGTATTTTTTGTTTACTTTTTATCTACAAAGATTACCCTGAAGGTTTGTTTTTCATTTTGAAAAAAAAAAGGTGGCATTGTTGAGAAGGGATGTTGGGACAGGTTCTGTTTATTTTGGGGAATTTAGCAGAATCTTTTCCAGGCTCAAGACTCCACTTCTAGTCACTTGCACCCCAACTTCTGTCATAAGCCCAACTTTTTTACTGAATTTCTGTGGAACTAAAAACCTCAGATCAGGGTTCTGATCCTAAGTTTGGGAACCGCTGCTTTATGTTAACTAAGGACTTGTGAAATAACATCAGCATAACAATGCACAGATTCAAGTAAACAAAGGAAATGAGCACTCCACATAACCCATTTCACTGGTATTTCTATTTTCGACAATACACAAATATTTTAAAGAACTAAGCTGCATTTCACCTGTGTTAGGGTTGATGCTTGCTGCTATATGAAAGTGACAGAGTGCATTAGCATGATGTGAAATGTGACGCTGAACTTCATGTGTGCCTTGCTGATCAGGTAATAATTCTGTGTGGGTAACAAGGACTGAAGACCTTCTTTGTCCCTTTCTCATGTTTTTCAAGTGGTGAATTGTCTGAAGTAGTTAAGAGACAGAAGAAATATTATTTTTTTAAAATCTAAAACTGAGAAATCCAAAAACGAAATAATGTATCATTAAGTGGATTCATGAGACTATATCTTTGTAAAGCCTAAAACTTTAACAGTATCCTTTAACATACAGGCATGAAGACTTTGACTGAAGGTAGTTTGAGTTTCTTAAGACTTGCATACATTTTTTTCCCTGATCAAAGCCAAGTTCAAAGATTTCAAATTTCTGCTTTTACCAAAACCAATTATTTTAAGGAATAGCATTTGCACAAAGGCACAGCTGCACAGCATTTGCCCACTCGCACAGTAAACACGGCTTATTCTGAAAGCAGTTGTCTACCACAGCTATTAGTCTGATACAGTACAGAGCCAAAGACTTTCCAGAGGCAAGATTTTTAAATATAGTTTGGGATTATATTTTTGTTTTTACTATTGGATATAATGTTACACCTTGATTCTTTAACTTCCAGAACAGTTATACAATATAAACCATGACACCACAGGCTTCTATACTAAGGACCTGGTATGCCACAGCGTATGCAGGTTGCTGGTGTGATACAGAAGAAAGGATCCGTTCTGATTTTCATGGATTAGAATGAGTTTTAGAGTTTGGTCTAGTCTTTTCTGTGACCTAATTTGAATCAGTTATCGTTAAAACTAACAAAATCTACAATGCCATCTTTGCAAAGGCATTTTTCATATCAGATCATTAAGAGAAAAGAGGAAAATGTTTTTATTGATGACATACACTTTACTTGGAGGGAGTTGGGAGAAACAAACAAAACTTAAAACAAAACTAGCAGGATTTTTTTTAAAGAATTCACCTATATGCTAACATGTTTTCTTAACCGAGTCAAGAAAAAGGTTTAACTTCTTGGTTCTTGTGGTAGTTCTGTAAGTATGGATTCTAATTCTCCAACCAGAATGAAACCACCACTTATTGATCAGTATTTAACAATGCCGCCTCCTCCTATGATTCTACTTAGCTAACCAACAAGGAGATTCTATATTTTGTCTGTCTTGGGTGTTCTGTGCACAAGGCTGGCAAATTAAGATCTCTCTCTTACTTCTGAGATGGATATACTGTAAATGTCAAAAGAGGATGAAATAATTTAGACAGCTATAATCTGACCTGACTATGCTTGTAGAAAGTAAACAGCATGTGGTTTTGGGTTCTAAATCATATAAAACTTTACACACCGTAAACTTCAAAATGATTACAGTTTAAAACAATTGTTAAAGCAAGTATTTAATGATACCTCTAGAGCATGCTGAATCCTGTCTTTTTGCCTTCCAGATTGAGAAAGGCTGCTGCTGCTGATGCTAGAAGTGGTAGTTTCACAGATCTGCTCACCCAGAAGACTATCTTCTGGCAACAAAGTCTCTGCCCAGAGCCGACATATGCCATCATGGCATGAAGTAAGTAACACATTACAGACAGACCCCCTGAAGACACACACAGCAGGATTATCTCACATAACCAACTGAAGTGCAATTACACAACAGAATTATGAAAACATGCAAGTATTAGGTAGTTTATGTATGCTTCATGCAGGGTTTTGGAACAGCAGAAACATTTTTAACTTGGTAACTAATGCTAAACTACAGATTACTGACAAAAGCACACTGACAGTAATATGAATAAATAATTATCATATTGTAGCAAAAAATCTATTTATAATGATTTGCTTTTCTGACTGGGTCAAGTATGACCATGTATACTGCATTATTCAAGAAGGGAAAACAAATTTCTAACCTACTAATCCTATGATTTATGCCCAGCTTAAAAAGTAACATTTTAAAGAGAATAGTTTCATAACCATTTATAAAACTATTTAAAATGTTATTTTTTAAACTAGTAACAATTTAAACAAAGGTTTCAATTGGACCTTCTGACAGTAAATATGCATGAGTAATGAACAGTGTATAACCTCATCCATATTTTTAAATTAGTTCAGGATACTGTGCTCTTTTTGCAATAGCTGATGAGAATAACAATAGCCACAATAAAAAACAAAGCAGAAGATTTTTAATTGTAGCCGCTGTAAGACAAACTAAGCACCTATATTCCTCAGTGAACCATATGTGGGTGCAATTGTAATAATAAAAATTAATTATTTGGCACTATAGACCATTAAGGCCCTTGGCTGCCTCCACTATCTTCATTCATTCCCATATGTTGTTTGCCTTCATCCTCCAGTCATCCACATTTAATTTCAGAAGGTTTCACACTACATCACATAGCCATCTTTTCCCTGGTTGTCCAGACAGCCTTCTCCCCTCTGGTACCCCAAAGAGCATTTTCTTTGGTGTCTGGATCACTTCCATTCTTTCACCCATGACCCAGCCTCTGCAGTCTGTAGTATAGTATAGTATAGTATAGTAGGATGTGTGTGTGGTCTGCATATAATCACTGTACTGTATTGTATGTGGCTACAATGCTAACTTAAAATTTAGGGCCTTGAAAGGAAAAGAACCCCAAAAAGTTTATGGACACTGCTGCAAACCCTCCCTTCTGAAGGAACCTTGTGTTTTCATTAAGACCCTAACTCTGAATACCTCTTTTTTTAATTTTAGTCCAAGTGTCTTATGGGAACTTTCTAACCTGGGCATATACTTGCTAGTATTACGCCATGAAAATCCTGTCACAGCTCGAGGATGTGCCAAATAAACAAATGAAAAGTGGACAAGTGCTGAACTTTTTTTCTTTTCTTCTCTTTCTTGTGCTAGAAGAGATGACTTCCAACCAGTCATGGGATACCAAACCTTTAACAGACAATCATCCTGGGCAAAAAAACAAGTATAAGCAAGATTAACAGGTATAACTTAAATGTTGATGAAATAAGTTTGACGGTGTACATCCACTCACATACTTTATTAAAACCCATCTGAAATGTTAATATAGCAACACCACCATTTCTGATAGGTCATTTAATACCATTTATATTCTAATGTGCTTGGTAAATTAAAGAATTTTTCGTAACCTACTCAATATACAGTTACAAACTACCAAATATTATGCAACATAATAGGACTGTATGAGGGACAGTAAATAATAAAACAGTACACAAAAAATGATTCATAATTTACTTGTGATCATCCATTTGAATGTACACAGGACACTTGTCTAGCACTTTTTACTTTCATTCTTTAAAACTGAAGTGAAGAAATTTGCTTACTTATGTGGATCTCATTGATGCTATGTAAGTTTTAAAATAATCAATAAGAACCTCTTTTTCCTAAAGTCAAGTAAAAAATCTCTTATAAAATCATTAAGCTACAACAGTTAGGAATTAAATAAGCTTGCTTAACTAAAAATGCAGCTCTGTATGCAGTCCAGGATTGCTGTATTTTTTTAATCAATCATGTGATGACTGCATGGGGCTTCAGTGCTCATCTGATTATTCTTCTTTCTCCTTACCTTTCCAGCTGTTGCAAAGTATTCTCCATCAGGGGACCATGCCATGAGATGTACAGATACTGCTGTCCTACAGAACAGACTTGGTTAAGTCTTGAATACTGTCTTGAATACTTTGAATACTGTTGTATGTATTTTGCAATGTTTCAAATATGCATATAATGTTTAAATACAACATACTGATATATTATAGTCTGTAAGTAGAAGCACTGAGATAAACCAGCTATGGTACATTTAAGATTTTCTCACACACTTGTCAAGAACTAGCAAGCTCAGATCAGAGCTACTGGCATCACATGAGCCCATACCTTCTTCTTATGCTTTTTTCCTCTGGTATTGCAAGAGTGATATTGTAGCTGTGATGGTCCGGAAATTGTGTAAGGGGCAAGGATTTCTTAGGCTGATATCTTTTATTGAATCAACTATGTAGATGGGATAAAGTTAGTAAAGCTTTCAAATTCAAGACATTCAACCTGAGAAATCCTTGTCCCTCACATTTTTTTTTCATAAGACAGATGTATGAATGGAAATAGGGGAAGACACATAAGAATCTATTAACATAAATACAAAAGAAAAGATTTTGTTCTTTATTTGGTACTCTGTTCATGAACAAAGTTTGGAGCACTTGTGATTGCTTGAAAAGCAAAGGGTCACACATCTAATAATGAAAGAGCTCAACTCAGCATTCTGGAGGGACCAGCTGGGCTAGCTCTGAAACTTGAGGTTTAAGGCAGGGGTCGTCAACCGGGGGTACGCATAGCCTCAGGGGTACTTGGGAAGGCCCTAGGGGGTATGTGCAGACGGGCAAGAACAGAGTGTTACCACCCACCACCCTGCGCTGCCGCCTCCCAGAAGCAGGGCTGGGGGGAGAAGGAGGGGGCGAGGGCAGCGACGCCCCTCTGCAGGCTGCACAGGTGCTGCCCAGCCAGCCAGCCATGGTGCGGGTGGGAGGAGGAGGGGAAGCCTACATGCTGCAGCTGCTGCAGCCACCCACCACCCTGTGCTGCCGCCGTTGTGCATCTGGCCACATGCCACCCTCCTATACCCCCAGTCCACTCCACATCTGACTGCCAGGGGTAAACTTATTTTAAAAGGTTGAAAACCCCTGGGTTAAGGTATTCACTTAGAAAGTATCCTTTTCTGTCAAGCTAAGAACCAAGAGACACACTGCTTTGCTTGCACACTTCTCCAGACGGAACACTTCCCATCTCAGGTTTGCAAGGAAAAAGACTTTGTTAGCTTCAAACTGTTATGGGCTGAGTTGCTGAAAGGACAAGGTTTTGTTCTTATTTGAGCTAGTACAGGCTGCTATTCAGTTCTCGGTAATCTGAACCATTTCTAATACTGTGATGACAGGAAAGTTTAAATGGCAATTTTATGGACCCAAAATACAAGTTAATTGATGCATAGACTGACTTCCTTAAGCTCTGAATCTGATACTGATGTGACTCTGCTCGAAAACTGAAAGCTTCTGTCATAAGTCAGAGGGATGTAGGTTGTAGCTGTGTTGGTCTAGGACATAGGCAAACAAGGTTCTTTGGGTAAATCTGACCAATTTGAGTTGGTCTAATAAAAGATATCACATTTAGCTAAAGAACCTTGTCTATCATAAGTTAGAGGCACTTGAGTAAACAGTGAACATCTGAGAGTGCTCCATTCTCATCAGCACAGAGGCAGAAAAGGATCTTGGGAGTCATTACTGACTTCAAGATGAACATGGGCCGACAATGTGGGGACGCAGTCAGGAAGGCTAACCACACCTTGTCATGCATCCACAGATGCATCACGAGCAGGTCCAAGGAGGTGATCCTCCCACACTATGCGACATTGGTCAGGTTGCAGTTGGAGTACTGCATCCAGTTCTGGATGCCGCACTTCAGAAGGGACATGGACAGCATTGAGAGGGTCCAGAGGAGGCCACTCGCATGATCAGGGGGCAGCAGGGCAGGCCCTACGAGGAGAGGCTGTTCAGCCTCCACAAGAGGAGGCTGAGAGGGGATCTTGTGGCCATCTGTAAACTGGCCAAGGGAGACCAGCAGGCAATGGGAGAGTCCCTGTTCCCCCAAGCACTACCAGGAGTAACGAGGAATAACGGCCATAAGTTGACGGAAAGTAGATTCAGGCTAGATATCAGGAGGCACTACTTCACAGTCAGGGCGGCTAGGATCTGGAACGAACTTCCAAGGGAAGTGGTGCTTGCTCCTACTCTGGGGGTCTTTAAAAGAAAGCTAGATAGACACCTTGCCGGGGTTGTTTGACCCCAGCAATCTTTCCTGCCCATGGCACAGGGTCAGACTTGATGATCTGCTCAGGTCCCTTCTGACCCTACCAACTATGAAACTATTTGACAGGTAATGTAAGCCAAGAACATGCAAATTTGAGTGATACAATGTGCTCAACCAGGACCAAGGGAGTTTTCATCCAAGGCTGTGGTAAGCAATGCCAGAACAATGGTGTGGAGAGGAATACAAAGGGAAAATATGAAGGTGTCACTATTTGTTTGAAAAAGGAAAAATGTCTCAAACTTATTCAAATACACAGTTCTGTCAGTTAACATTTTCTTAAAAACCATCATCTCTTTTCAGTTATGAAAAGCTTAGGGCCCATGCAGCAACATTACTTGTCTGATTACAACAAATAAAATATAGAATAGGAAAAATTACCAGACTATAATGCTGTATTTCTTCAGCATAGTGAAACATTGATGGTAGCTGTTTTTCCTAATTGTGTTAAATAATTTAACTTGTTGATATTTGATATTTTTATAGAATTAGGTATCCAAAATCAGTTTCACTATGTAAGAATTATACAGAGCTCCCTTTTAATCAAAGTCCTTTCACAATAAACCACAATACTGGAATACACAATGCCATGGTTTATGTTCTCTTTTCTCTTCTTTTGTCTCCATTCTTTAGTCTTCCTTGTTTTATTTTTAGATTTTCTTTTGCTTTCAAGTCTTGCCCTTTCCCCCTTTCTTTTTCGACCACTACGTTTGGAAAACATTCTTCTTATCTTATTTATTACAATAGTACCTAGAGACAAGCTGAACATGGGGCTTCATTGAGCTAGCTAAGCACTATATGTACAAAGAATATAAGGAAGAATAGGTTGCTGTACCATTGGTGGGTCTATGGAGTGGGGGGGCATGCTCTAAAATCCTCATCTGTGCTGCACAAGCTAACAAAACTTGTGCTTACAGGTTGCGTCCTTAGTACTTTATGTATACAAATTAGCTATTAATATATCCATTTGTAATAAGGAACAAAATAGAAGCAGGGGGAGGAGGAGGGTTTCAGGAAGATGCCCTCTGCTTTACAACGGCTTTTTCAGTGAGAAACAAAACACCACTACACCTCTGGCCATCTCTTTGCCTGTTGGTATACAGTACCTTCATCTAGCTCTCCTCATTCACACGAGACACATTGTCAGCACTGGAATGTGTGCAAACATCTGTTAGTATATTCTGTAATGGCAGATTAGCAGAGGGAATGGGAGGCTTTTTAAAATCTGTAATGGATTTCACTCAAAGGATGTTTTTTATGAAGTTGTCATTTTAAAGTACTTTTGAAGGTATACATATTAAATATGCAGTCTTTTCCTTCTTATTCAACAAATCTTATATGAGAAACTAGCTTACTTGCACTGCCAAATACATTTCCAGTCATTTAGGACAGGGAGAACTTTATCTTCTTTGATCTGACTGTCGGGAACATCATCTTCTTCCTCTTCCTCCTCCTCTAGGATGTCACTGGATGGAGGGGCCCACAACTGCAAATACTCAGTTGCTGTCAGGAGCCTGTTGCCTGCAAGTAAGTAATATCAAAGCTGTAGAAAAGAACAAGGAATTCCAGGTTGCATTTATATGGAAGATTCTGTTTGGTATATTTGTAAGGGTTGCTGGTAAAGCCTGGGAATACAATTTTACAAAGTTCATTTTGATTGCAGTAGGCTATTCAGACACGATGACCCAGCTGATTTTATCAAAATATATTATGAACATGAAACTTTAAAGAAAGTTATTGTTTTTTTGCTACTGGGATTGTAATAATATGAAAAGAATTAATATTGTGTGAAGACAGACTATCTGAATTGAAAATACAAATCTTTGTTGGTCGTGACATTCTTGGTGTACATGACCAAAAGTCACAGTTACCAATTAATACGGAATTTAATTTGCAAGCCTTCAGTAAACATTTTTATAACAAATAATAGCAGTTTCTTGCATTAAATAAAGCTCCAAGGTATATAGGGTTTATGACCGTTTGTCCTTTCAGAATCAGGATTTATTTCTCTGCTTTTTCAGTAAGCCAAAGCATTTCTTAAGACTATCTAATTTAAAATGTACATCTTTTAAAATGTCTGTGGTAAGGCTTTCATATTCAGTGCATCATTAAAAAATATTTGAAAGCTATGGTGAATCTTTTCTGCCAAAAACTAACGATTCCACCAGAAGTATGGATGAAAGCGCATGGAATTTCAAGGCTATTGCAACTCGATCAAACACTGTGATATAAATCTCCCTGTGTTAAAAAGATTTGACGTCTAAATGATAAAAATAAGAAGGGGGATTCAACAGATATTTGTTGTTAGTGTTCTTTTCATCTCAAATGAAAAGAGATCTTGGATTTTTCCAGAAGGATGTTAGAGAATCAACATTTTTCTTTAGAACTTATAACAGAAAAAGGAACTTTCCCCTTGCTTGAAAATGGTTCTCTCTCAGGAAAGGAAAAAAAAATTACAACAAAAGTAAGTTACACCAGGAGAGTGACTTCTCAGGAATGAACACATTAACAGGATATCAAAAAACCAACCAGCTAAGGCAACAACTAGGTATAAAGATTATTGGAGACACTGTCACAGAAGACTCTCTTACAGGTAAGGAAAGCACTCTTTTTATGCAGTGATTAACTCCTGTACTCTGTTCCAAAAACTTGTATACAGCAGTGAAAGCCAAACTGTGTAGGAGAAAAACAGATCTCTTGATATTTTTAAAACAAATTAGATTACTTAATTAAAGCCTTTAGAAAATGGCAGATGGAAGTTGGAATAGCAAAGGGACTAATATCTGCTAATTTTTTTAGGTATTCTTTGGCCCCCCGGCACACATTCATTTAAAGGGCAATGGGAACTGATCTCTGGTCACAAAATCACAGTTCCTGCCATGCATGCGAGACATGATTTTGGGATCAGGGATCAGATCCAAATAACTTGTTTCTGTGTCTCAGTGCAGGGGGAGCCTGGGATAATGATCTTTTAACTTGCTGCTGCAGGATAAAAGATGGGTACCTGCAAGTCCAGGATGAGACTGAGACTCCGGTGCGGTTCCTGGCTGGAGCCAGAAATCAGCTGATGGTTGGCCCCAGCTCCAACCTGCTACACACTCAATTTAAGGAGCTACATAAACCAGCCATTTTTACGGCTGGTTTGCCACTTTATGGTGCCTTAAATTAAATGCACATATAGCACCCTTGCTATTTTTGCCTCAATTAACATGTTAATGGCAGTGTAAACATAACATGTAGTGGGGGCCTTACAGATGTCCACTTGGCAATTTCCTTTCTCCATTTGTAATGTAGTGAAATTTGTCCAGAGGCAAAGTGGCCAGGTGTCCGAGGCAGCAGTGACTTTTGGCTGCTGATGCACCACTGACATGTTTATCGTCTGCCACTGAAGCTGCACATTTCCCCTATTCCCCGCCGAGTCGGGAAAGATTAACTTCCTTGTGTCTGTCATGAACTCCACAGTGGTCTGGGAGGTTGTGGGGTGCCATGAATGTTTTCCTGTGTTTTGCTGTACTGATGTGTGGTCTTGTCAAAATGTACATGTTATGTTGCATCCATTTATGCTATGCTGTCTGTAGATATTTTTATGGTTTTGACTGTGGTTTAGTCAAGCAAAGGGAGTGGGTGGAACTGCTAAACTCTCAGCTGCAACACTAGGATAAGACACAGGCAGGAAACATTGGGTTGGGCACTCAGGAATCTGTCTGCCTGCAATTGGGAATCAACTTCTCTATAGAAAAGACATCTGAGAGAAATGGCCCAGCAGCCAGAGGAATTCAAGGTGTCTCACAGAAACCAGCATTTTCTGGAATGCAGTGGTGACAGCTGAGCAATTAGAATAATGCTGATTTGGGGTGGGGGAGGGTGCAGGGGATTTATCTATGATAGAATCAGGGTCTTTGGATTTTTAACCCTGGGCTGGGGAAGGGCACAAGGTCTCAGCATCCAGGGCTGGCAGAGTCAGCAGAAGGCTGATTTCTGGTGATACTGGCTGATCTCTCAGGAGGGCTATGGTGTAGGTAGATGAGAGGGTAAGAAACTTCCTTTGTCTTGTTTTCTTTTTTCAAACTTATGGTCAGTTTTGCTTGTATAAGGCCTAGTCTTTCCAGAGTGCACTATGAACAAGAGGAGGAACAAGCAGATACTAGAATATGGAGCTAGGTAAGCAATACAAAAAGACAGACTCATTTGGTTACTAATGTGGTCTCCTGAATGCGCATCCTTGGCTCCTAGTGCTTGGCACACCATTTGGAATCACTTAAGTTCTTAAAAGAGTGTTAAATAAAATGTTTTAATTTCATCTCACATTGGCATTTAAGGAACCCTAACTCGTATCAAAGTACAAGTAGAAGAGCATGCATGTCATCTGTCTCTGGTGCAGTTGTAGCAGCAGAAGTAAAAAGTAGAGCATTCCCCACTCATAATATATAAATCAACCAACCATTAAAGATTGAGGGATATCTTGCCAGATATGAAACATGGCTCCCCTTGTGCCCCTCAGTAAGAGATGCATGCACCTTTCACACTGATAGGCGTGTTGAGGGATACTTCACTTACTTACCAATCATGGAGTTCTTGGCTTGCCCAATATAGGCAGTACTATGGGTTTCCTTGTTAATGTTTGAAGGAGGAGGGTAGAAACATGACACTTATCTGAATTTAGTTTAGAAGGATATTTTCATCTTCACTGCAACTGTTTTCTGTCAGTTTGCTTTAAACCGTATTTTATTCTCTAACGTTAGTGCCACTGACCCTTAACTCACACTATTTTTCTTAGCCATTCCCAGAAAAACTTTATGGGTATCTACAAGTTTTCAAAAATCTGCGAGACCTGTACAAGAAAAACCTACTGGAAGAGCACCGTACAAGCAGCTGGGAGCTCTGCAGACAGCCTGTGCTGCTGTGGCACTCAGCCACAGGTCCACAATGCATGCATCCCATCATGCTTTGCAGGCTTCCCTGTCTGCCTGGAGACAGCTGACTGTAGCTCTGGGCCCAAGTCCGAGCTGACTGGATGGATGCCCCAAGGGACCATGCCCCCTCCCCACAATGCCCTTTCCTTCCCTCCCTCTCTTTGTCCCAGCTGCCAGGCTTTCAGACAGGAAACCCAGAGCATTTCTGCTACCTTTTCAAGCCTGTCAATTTTCATTTCAGCAGCCCACAATGGATCCCTACCCCTCTGACACCAGCCAACAGATCCAGTTCCACCAAAGGTCAGGAAAGTCTGGTTGGGGTTGGGTGCTGCGAGTCAGGTGCTGCCCGGTCTGAGTACAGGGGGCCAGGGCCTAGGCACTTCAGTTCCTCTGTGATCGGGCCCGGATAAGCTGAACCCCACTTCCTCCTGGACCCAAACTAAATAGATCCATTCCCCACTGTACCCAGACCTGTCAGACCAACTCCCACAAGACTGAAAGCAGCCTTTCAAGTAAGGTCTGGGTTTGTGGGTTTGAGAAACAGTGTGGCTGGGGTCTGGGTCCCTGTGGGGAGGGGGTCAGGGGCTCAGGCAGTGGTAGGGACAGTGCCTGGGTTGGGGGTTAGTCAGGGGGTTTGGGGAACAGCAGGACTGGGGTCTGCAGGGTTCAGATCTGGGGTGACGGTGAGTCAGGGATTGGCATGGGGTCTGAGGTCTGTGGGATCTGGGTCCCTGGGGCAAGGGTAGGGGCTTGGGGAATGGGGGGGTGCTGGAGGTTTGCTTTCTCGTGCCTACTCAGGGTCAAGGGTTTAAGAACTGCATAGCCCAAGAGCTGTGGAGAGAGGCTGAACTTTCCTGGTCCTGAGGCTGGTCAGAGGAGGGGTTTGTTCTGTGCTTGGCCAGAGCAATGGAGTCCAGCTTAGTCACAGACCATCTCTGTGGATAGGAGGGGGCTGGGACAGCTGGAGGGCAGTGTGGCACCTGTAAGGTAAGTGTACAAGCATTTGTTTCTGTGAAAGAAACTCTACTAGAGGCCACTTCTATCTCATGGGAAGCGGTAGAATTTCTAACTGTTTTCAGTCTGGTAGTGGAGACCCACCATTTTTGGTCTGGTAGAAATGGTTTGAATGCTTCTATACTGAGCATTTCTTCCAGTGGAACTGCGATTCCACTGGTAGAAAAACTAACTCTTGTAAGCTCCCAGTAATTCAACAACTCAAGCAGCAACTACCTTTGAACATCTTAATTTTAATTTATAGGTTCCAAATTTAATGTACCATAAAGTCAGGTAGTATACATGCAGATTATAGCTGTAGACTATAAACAGTGGACATATTTTTTAACTATGGAAAATGTTACTTTTTACCTGATTATTTTTCATCAGCAGCTTTTACCTTACCCACTCCAAAGATTCAGCATTTAGACTATCCTTCAGCAAAAAGTGATAATATCTTGCTTTGAGAAGTGGAACTGGCAAATAGGAATGATTTTCTTCCCCTGTTTTGATGTGCATTTTTAAAACCTTTTCCCCAAAACCCATACATTGAGTGTTTAAGAATAACCACCTATTAAACCGTGTGAAATATTCACATTCCACTATCAACAGAATACCAACAATTTTAAAGCACAACATATTTTTCTTAATATACAAAGTGAATAGGCTAATACACTAATGATCTCAGTAGCATTCCCTAATTAAGATACTGTATGCTACATGTACAATGCAAAAGCTCATGGCATAGCAATGTCATAAACATTAAGTGTAATGGATTATTATGATGAAACTGAACTTTTCATTAACCTGTACCACACTAAATGCAATGTGAGAATTATGGATCTAATATATAAACATATATACATAGTCAAATTCAAGTTGTTTCAGTAGAAATTACTTCTACACAAGTTCATTCCACAGTTACAAGTTTTGAACAAACACTTAACATCAGTTTCACGTTACCTTGAGGATCCCATGCTAAGTTGTAAGTCATAGAACTGAGAAAAAATTGCCCCGTTTTAAGCCACTGACACTTTAGTTGCTGTAGTATAAAAAAATTAAGAATAAAGGGTTAGTTCTTAAAAAAAAACAGAAAAATGCAATAAAGAGCTGCTTTTATTTTGGTATGAGCTATAAACATGATCTTGAAATTATTAATTCTGTTGCAAACAAACTCTAGACTCCCATAAGAATTACTGAATCTAGTACAATTAATTTTTTTAAGTACTCTATAAAGACTAAATGCAAGTCTGGGTATATATATACCGCAATCAAGAGGTAGGACTGCAGTTCACATACCTAAAACAACTTTAAACAACAAATGCGGGAACTGATAGTATAACTGTTGGCTGTATGTGACTATGTGGCAAAACCTGCTGGGGACTCTATGCAAGTATCTGTGCGGCTGGCAAGGACACACAGTTATTGGCAGTTATCAGTACCTGAACAAAGTAGTTTAAAGCTATCTTGTGTATATGCTTCAATAACACCTCCAGACTGCAGGGTAGACATATCCACTGAAACTAAAGAAAAACTATTTTTTTTTAGCATTAGAGAACTGAATGGTGCTATTTTGGTACATCAATACTTACACAATTTCTCTTGTGAGAATTTATACCAAGGGGCTCAAAAATACAAACAGCATTTCCATATGATGCTGCAATCTGGAAAAATTGAACAAACAGAATGTAAAGATTCAAAAAAGGTACAACAGGCCTCTTTAATATTCCTAGATAACCAATGACTTTCCAGTACGTTTTTAAAGACAGATGCTAAGGAAAAGCAAAATTCATACAAACATTTGTCTGTTTTACCTACATGAAAAATACATTAGTTTATTTTGAACAATCCCAATTCAGATTCAAATGATAAAGAGACAACAGGATATGCACTAATGCTCTGCCAACCTGTTAAGCAGTTCTAGAATGGCTACTGTTAGTGCGCAAGGGAAAGCTGATACCTTTTTCTCTTGCTGTCTGCTTCACAGAAAACTAAAAAATTAATGATTAGTGTCTGAGTCTGCGGTTCAATTCTAAGGTTTCAATTCCTATCACTGAATATTAATTACTAAAAAGCAGGAGCAAATATATTTCTAATCCCAGTTGAAAGAAAACCTGAAATATGGAAATGCAAAATATTTAACATACTACTGGACTTTTCAGCTTCTTCCATCATTTTTTGCACAGCACAACTATTTCTACTAAAGGGCTTTTTTCCCTTTGAACATAGCAGGGCTCTTTTCACTTTTATTTAAAAAGATAAGTTACAAGCTGTTTAAATGCTTCCCACTTAAGAGTCTTGTCTTCCCTACACAGAAATAATGGACAAGTTTCAAGTCATTTTCCTATGAGAAAGTAGGGAAGGAAGGGTTTGCTTCTACAATACACCCAGGGGAAGAGACCAGGAGTCCAAAAACCAGATCTAGGTTCTCTCAAATTCTATATAGATCTAAGGGGACAATAAAGGCCAAGGTCATACATGTCTACACAGGCATTCTGAATGCTTCCTCCTTGTCAGAGTTAGAATTCTCACCAGCTATAGTTGTCCTTCTTCAAGTACTGTCTATAATACCATCAATTTGTAACTTATTTGAACAATGGTTGGTTATGGTTGCTTACTGGTATTCATTTCTACCAGAAGAAATTTCTTCTAATAGAAAAATAGCCTGGGAACTGAATTACACAGACAGTCTTCCAGTCTCATGGCTGGAGAACTTCAGGCAAGCCAGGAGGCAACTGAAACTCCCCTGTGAGCAATTAACCTTGGCTGTTCCCAGATTATTTTTCTCCCAAAGAAGTCCAAGAAGTCACGTAGGGTCTGCACAGTTACAGGTTTAGTAGACTTATACAGGTTACTGTATTAACATACTATAGTATTTTTGGAAAATATACTCCTAACTGCTCTCTCAGCCCTTCTCAGTGTCTTTCAGCACTTACCTCGCTTCCTCTGTTTTTCCTTAGCTAGAAATATTGAGGCAATATTGGAAGCAAATTTAGTAGGATCAGAATTAGAATTTTGTTTTATTAAAGCTACATTATTACAGGAATCTAACCAATGATGACATCTTAATGCTTCAAAACATGTGTTTTCTGAAACCTACATAGTTAGTGCTTTCTTTTTTGTATATTAGATTTTTTAAATGCTAGGAGATGTGCTAATTTGTTGAAGCCTGTTCTCATCTGTCCAAACACAACTACTCTTATTGAATTATTTTTATTTTTTTATTCATAAACATCTTTAACAATTTAATGTGGTTTAAGAGAAATAGGTACAATTACAAAATTAACTAAAAAGTTCCATTAATCATTAAAACAAATGAAAACTGAATTTATTTTTTATACTGCTAACAGCCATTCAATGCAAACAAAAATCGCTACAGGAAAATTACTTACATGAACAATATTCTACTTTTAGTTGTTTTTAAATTATCATCACCATATGCTTATATGATAAGCAAAAAAATATGTAGCCAACAAAACCAACAAATTGTACACATACGCTAAAATCTTTTACTTAGTATGCTAGTATGCCAACAGTCCAATATACCACATAAAAGTGATCCAACAGAAAAAAAATTGCAAGCTCGAGGAAGGAATGCAAGATGTGGTGAAGGAATAGAGGAAGATACCATTATATGCTAGCCTGAAAAACAGTAGCTTGTAAATTGCCACAGAACACCAATACAGAGTTGCTTCTTTGTCATATCAATTTGGTATTCAAATAAATGCATATTTCGGTACTGAAAATATAAAGTAGATTTCTAAAAGATGCAGGACATGCAGAAGGGTATTTGGTCTTCATCTCAGATTTCATAGCAATTAATAACCTGACAATTTTTTATATTCTGTAAGGCTGCTTAGTACATTCTGACATATGTATTAGTGCTAGGGGATCTTAGCCTTTTCTAAACTTTCAATCACAAATGAAAGCATATGTCCCTCTTTCAGAATTAGCAACTGACGCATTCCTTGTTAGGAGGAAGGAACATGCAATGCTAAACACTTAAAAAAGGTGGCATAAATTATCTGGGAATGAAAAAAAAATCATCAAAAAACAATGTTTCAGTTAATGGAAAATTTAGTTTTACCAAACTTCCAAAAAATAAATCACTATTCATTATCAGCCAAGAAGGGTTATTCAGGGTTATAAGTAACCCAGAAGTATGAACAGGCCTTCAAAATGAAATTACTGCTTCAGCAATAGCAGATACATCAAATATTTTCTGTTTAATTGATTCAGAGGTACACACTCCAGTTTTTTTTAAGTTTACTCTAATTTATTAAAATTCTTACCCTGCCTTGTTGTTGGGAGCACTCCACACAGCTGACTTGGATGTTTCCATGCTTAGCACCAGGAATAATCTGCACACATTCAAAGTCATCTGCCAGAATAACAATATCACAGCCAGAGCCATACGCCTACAGTAATTGTAAAAATATATATAATTTAATGTTTATAGAAATGAATGTAGCAAATTCATTTTAGAATCATCGCATTATTTTGCAAAGAGAATTAAGGTATTCATGAAAACATTTAAATTTCCACCAGAGTTTATACCAATAAAGTGCAGTGGATTTCTACAGCAAGGGCTTGTTTCTCATCCTTATCAATGCAGCTTTAAGTCAATGGGAGCAGCATAGAGAGAGAAGGAAAAAGATGACCTTTTTTCTGCATGCTTTTTCTCTGAGAGAGAGAGAGAGAGAAGAGCCAAATGAAGTCTGCTATTCTTATATATTTTGCTAGAGACAAATAATGCAAAATAATTACTGCCAGAATTAAGGTGTGAGTTGACTTTTGCCTATTTTAATATAATAGGGTTCAGGAAGGCTTTTTAAAAAAGGCTAACAATTATTTTTTATTCAGATTTCTTATCAAATTTTTGTATCAGGTATTTGGATTGTGTCCCTTTGTATTCTACCCCATCCCCTTCTCTTGTTTTTAAAAGAGAAGTTTGTATTTATTACATTCCCCAAGTATATAACTTCTAGAATAATCTAGGTTTTAGCAAGTGCATTTTATTAGCAGTGGGTAAAACAATAAACAAAGATCCATCTACTATAAGGATCATTTATAAAAGTACTGAGTCTGTTACTACACTCTATACAATATGTTCTAGAATACAATATAGAACAATGATGGCTTGCAACATTTTTCACTGGCAGGAAATGAACATAAGTGTTTGCCAGCTTCTGCCCTGTTCTGGTATGCCAGTATATTCTAGGGTCCTAATCTCTCTAAACGATGTTTTATTAAACTCCTACCTCAAAAAATTCTCATAGGAATGTCTGTTTGTCACATCCACTTATACTAATTAGTGTTTATAAATACAAAATAACTATAATTATACCTAAGATTTCCTTTTCCTTAAATACTTTTTCTGCTACTACAATGTCCCCAGTACAATATGCTAGGAGTCCTAGTAGCCAACTAGTTTAAAACTACCAAGTAATATACTCCTAAGTAATCCTCCTAAATATTTTGTTTGCCATCGCTTATGCAAGCATCCTTTGAACTTGGATCTTCATAAACAAAGGTTACTTTGCAGCATAAAATTAAACTTTCAGAATAATTTCCCCTTGCTTCTTTCATAGTTGATTCCAACAGCTTGGATGAATTTTAAGTGAGTTCCAATGGGGCACAGTGAGGGTGACATCCATCCCAACACTACCCCCCAACTGTCCCTCGAAGTGAAAAGGAGTGTGAACTGGGTGGGAGATATCTGCTTTATTTATTCATTGAATAGTGTGTGTCCATTTGTTTGAGTGTTGTTATGCTATCTGCAACATAGGTCCCTTGGTCTAACTCCTGATGGAGCTCACCTCTTATCTTCAGAAAGGTAGACAATAGCTTTGGATAACCACTGGTATGTAAGGGAAAATTCACGCATGAAGCCCTTTAAAATCTTCTTCTGACCCCAGTAGATAAATAATGCTCCTCTCTGGAAGAAACTGGTCCACTGTACTGCATCTACCTATTGGCCACTGCTCTGGAAAGACTATTTTTGCAGTGCTCAAATCAGTTGGATCTAACAAGGTTAAAGACCCAGGTTTAAGTAAGAGACATAAGAAAGTGGTAAAAGTGTATCTAATCCTTTGCATCATTGAGTTTTGCTTTTAGGACACAAAATGTAGTTTTCCATCCCCCCAAGTTTACTAAGACAATCTTCTAAACATGAACTTATACAGAGTTATACTCCAGAGACTAGAAAATTTGTTTTCCCCCCCAGTGTTCTGGAAAGCTATGAAAAACAGCAGGTAACCAGTGAGGACGTACAAGGGAGCCACCTCTTTAATGGCACCAGCCCTTTCCAATTTGACCCAGCTGGTATGTAGAAATTTATGTGAAGGCAGCAGATGGCTCAGCTGATAAAAGGGGCCACAGGAAAGCACTTGGCTCTTCTAGTAAGTCCTGATACTTGGCTTAACATTTAGGAATATCAAAACTGAATAGTACTTTATGTAACTAAATAAAACTCTTACTCTAAACCTCTAGGCATAGTACTGAGTCCTTCCTGGATTGAGGAAACAGGACAGCAACATCTCACAAGCCTATACCTCTGCTTGCTGGCAGCAAGAAGGACAGCAGGGAGATGAGTCTCATTTGTAAGTAGGAGAAAATAACTAGTATTTTTTTCCAATACAGAAAACTCCTGGTATCCAATTCTGGTTATCTGATAAGTTCATAAATCACTTCATACCTAGCATCTACTTTGTAATGTAATTGCACTGCATTTAACTGGGGTGACAATGATTAGGAGCCATAAATTAGAATGCTTCTAAAATAACCTTGAAGAAACTAGGCCGTGTCAATTTGAGGACTAGCACTGGAGGCAAAAGGCACTCTGGAAAACAATTACCCAGCCTTAACAATGTGCAAAAAGCTTAGTGCAGGCTACTCCTGTAGTTAATGAGCATTGATTATATTCTATTCAGGAAAGTCCGTAGCCCCTTTATCCACTCTCTGGATTATGTTCTTAACCAAAATACTCCCTACAGTTTCAATTTTTCCAAAAAATGAACTTTTCCAACATCTCTTACTCACCTGAAAGTGTGATTATATTAGTTGGATTGGGAAGAGGGAACATACTTAAACTTCCTCAAAATCCACTTGTTTCTATTTGAATGGTCCACCTTTCAAATTCTTCATTAATAATGGCATTTAAGCTGATTTTTGATTCTCTAAAGACAGCATCAAAATGGCTTATATAGGCAAATCAATGATACCATCTATGCAAAGGACAATATATGCTTCTAATTGCTAGCATGCTATTTTACCTTGGGAGGTGAAGTTAAGCTGCTTTTCAATTTATTAAGCACTAACAGCAACCCAAACCAGGTGAAGAATACTACTGCTAGACATCTTGGTATCTTAAAAGGAGAGACTTCTCATTTGTGTATGTTTAAATGTATTTATATATGGGGAAAAAAGTAACTGGCATAATGATACTAGCTCTGTAATTCTAACAGATAGAAGTACTTCCTGTTTAGTGTGGTTCTCTTTCGCTGTTCCCTCTGCCAACAAGCTACCATATTTCTGGTTAAATGTAGTATTTTAAGATTTTCATATCTTCAGAATGGGAAAAAAAATAACTTACAGAGGAGGAAAGAAAACACAACCTCCCTATTTCCACCTCCCTTCCGACACGCATACACTTTTGCCACTTGACAACCCATCAAGATACAAAAACATATGATTAAATATAAATAATCTTATTATACTCCTCCTTTCTCTTCCCTGTTTCTCTCTGGCAACTGACTAGGGATGGATGGATGCTAGTGCCTACAAGAGGATTTAATCTGTTCATGATCCTTTCTGAGGCTAAGTTTTAAACTGCAGTCAAAGCCTGGGTATTCAAGTTCTTTGGGGCGGGTGCTGAGTGTTTGATTTGGGGTGTTTTTTGTTTTTTTTTACTTGCTTGAGAATAAGTTTGGGGCTTTAAATAAATACCACAAAAATCAATTTAAATAAACTGTTAAATCTAAAACAGTTTACAAAAAAAGTAAAAAGGCTAGCCAACAGACTTCCCTGGACTGAAAGTAATAATTACCATGTTTTCTACATTTGACCCTTTAATGATTTTGAAAGTTGCTGATCTACTGAATGTATAGTGTTGTTAATGCCTTTTACTTTTTTTCCTCTATATATTTTTAGTAAGAAAACCAGTGAGGATCTAGAGTAAAAATGCATAGGGTTGATCAAGAGTCAGATGAAGTACAAAACAGGCAAAGGATGCAAAAACAAACAAACAAAACCAAAGGAAAAGATTTCTAGATACTGCAATTGTGAGAACAGTACAAAAACCTAGATAAACAGGATTATCTATGCAGAAAAGGAAACATACATAAGAACCACCCACATGGAGTATCTGTTGACCTAGTTTTGGGGTTTTTTGTTTGGTTGGGTTTTTTTTTTTTAATCTGTTGACCTGTTTTTAGTTGCATGGACATCTTCAAAATGAACATGAAATGGTGTTGCAAAACTGCTGAAAAGCAGGATGACTTGCAAGATGCACAAGTAGCTAACAAGCTGCTGTTTGCCAGTGTCTTTCATTGGGAGCTTACTGAAGCGCTTCTGACAAACCTCTTCTGGTGAGAAACAAGAGAACCCTAAATAGGAGAGGTTGTGTTTTGTTTTGTTTTTTAATTGTCTGTGTTCTCATAAAAATGCCCTCTTTTCAGCTGATTTCCTGAGTTTCCATTAGGGTTAGCATTGCAATTTAAATGTCAAGAACTAGTAAATTTCTTACACTTTTTCCAAATGTTTACTCCACTTGTAGTTTTTATTATGAAAAGCTGTCCTCCCTATATAGAAACTGCAAGGATGCTTATTTATAGACTATTCACCTGGGATGAGTAACCTAGGCAAGTTTAATGTAAATCTGTCCTCTGATTTGCCAGTGTCAGGGATCAGAAGATTCTCTGCATTCTTGAAGACCACACAAAGTAAGAGTGCCTCTACTCTTAGAAGGAACAATTCTGATCTTCCTCGCAGCTCTGGTTCTACCAGGCAGGGCTGGAGAATAAACAGCTAGGACTGGGGAATGTCCTCCCCCTCCAAACAAACAAAACAACTCACTAATTCCCAGAAGTACTGGAGACAACTCCATTGGGAAACATTTCTAATTTCCACCAGCATTATTCTGTCCTTAAGTACCAATAGAACTAGAAGTTGGTGTGACATATTTAATACAGCCTGGCAAAACAATCACAAAATTACTACTAGCAAAGGGGGGGCACATTAAATAACACCCTTGACCCCCCCCCCCCGCCTCCCAGACTGACCCTTGTTCTAG